ATATGATAGATATTTACATAATTATAAATTTACGGTTTTTAATGTTTGCTGTAGAGAATGAGAATGAAGGTGCTGGAGTAGGAAAGGGAGGAGGGGGAGAGACTGACAGGCAAGAGACAGGTGAGAGACAGGACCATGAAGGTGATGAGGGAGCAACAACCAGCGTCCACAAACAAGAATGGGACATTAGTGACTTAGGGGGAAAGCATGATGGTCCTAAACAAGTGAAGTTGTCCCACTATCCCCAGGACAAATTTGGAGTTAAAAAAAAACTTTCATTCAATTCAAAATAGTTTGAAAGCTTTTCCTGGTTAAAAAAGAAAGCCTTGTCATCAAGGATATGCAGTGTGTTTTCAACTTGCTTGATAACATCATATTCCCAACACTAACACAGGTCATCCAGATCTCCCTCACCATCCCAGTCAACAGCTGTGGTTGTGAAAGGTCATTCAGTGTGTTGAGAAGGCTCCACACTTGGCTGAGGTGCACAATGGGACAAGACAGGCTCCATCATCTTGCTATTTTATCAGTTGAAAAGGAAGAACTTTCTAAGCTGAGTCACAAGTGATTGACCGCTTTGCAAAAAGGAAAAATAGGAGGTACACTTTAATGCTCAAAAATAAAAGAAAAACTTAGTTCAGGTTGAGTTAAACCCGCAGTTCTCAAAGTGTGTGGCGCGACCCACTGGTGGGGAATTGAGACGTGACAGGTGGGGCGCGCCAAGTTCCGGTGTGTTTCTGTGTGTTGTGTGAAATGTAGAACGTGTGAGAGCAAACTGTCCTTATAGCTGTATGTTGCCGCTTTTTAGACCAATCAAACCCACAAAGTAATCATTACTAGCCTACATGCAGTCTAATTAAAAGAACATTAGATATGAGAAACATTTCACCTGGAACTGAAGTGCCAAAATAATGATTGACGTAACGTCGGCATATTATTTGTAATAATATTGTGTGTTGCCAACTCAGCGACTTTGTTGCTATATTTCAGACCCCTCCAGCGACTCTTTTTCAAAAAAGCGACTAGCGACAAATCTAGCGACAAATCTAGCGACTTTTGGAGACTTTTACATGAAAGCACGTATCGTTCCTTTTCTTGTCCTCCAGCGGCAGGTGCTGCCGTCGGGCGCCTCCCCCATCCCCACCCCGTTCTCCCCCGCTATCGCAGGAGTCCCTCTCAGCGCTGCAGTCAGAGACACAGCATGTTTACCCTCAGCGTCCAGACTGCAAATAAAGCGCACATGCGCCGGGATTGACGGCGCAGGTTGATCATAAATAACTGAATTTGAAATATTTTATCTTAAATAAATAACGGCGTTTGATTCACACAGCAGCATGTTCATGTTGTACCGTGATTTGTAGGCTCCTTGGTGGACCACAAGGGAAAAAAAGAAAACGTTTAAAAAAGTTTAAAAAAAATTGTAACTCCGCCATAGTGTCTCTTTATGGTTCATTTTGCCGGTCACAAACCGGGTAAAGGAGGAGGGTTAGTATTGTAATAAATTAAACATTAATAAAACAAAAATAATAATAATAATAATAAACATTAATGGACAGAAAAAAGTAGCTCTATATTATTTGGGTGTTTTTACTCACTTTTTGTCTTTCTCTAACAACGTTATTTCTCCCACTCCCATCTCAGCTGAACATTGAGCATGACTTGAGAGTGGCAGTATCAAGCCTGCAACCCCGTTTTGAGAAACTGTGCAATGCAAAACAGGCTCATTGCAGCCACTAATGCAGGGATAAATACAGGTGCTGGTCATAAAATTAGAATATCATGAAAAAGTAGATTGATTTCAGTAATTCCATTTAAAAAGTGAAACGTGTATATTATATTCATACATTACATACAAACTCATATATTTCAGATGTTTATTTTGTTTAATTTTGATGATTACAAATGACAACAAATGAAAATCTCAAATTCATCATATCAGAAAATTAGAATATTGTGAAAAGGTTCAAAATTGATGGCCCCTGGTGCCACACTCTAATCAGCTAATTAACTCAAACCACCTGCAAAAGCCTTTAAATGGTCTTTCAGTCTAGTTCTATAGGCTACACAATCATGGGGAAGACTGCTGACTTGACAGTTGTCCAAAAGACGACCATCGACACCTTGCACAAGGAGGGCAAGACACAAAAGGTCATCGCTAAAGAGGCTGGCTGTTCACAGAGCTCAGTGTCCAAGCACATTAATAGAGAGGCGAAGGGAAGGAAAAGATGTGGTCGAAAAAAGTGTACAAGCAAGAGAGATAACCGCACCCTGGAGAGGATTGTGAAACAAAACCCATTCAAAAATGTGGGGGAGATTCACAAAGAGTGGACTGCAGCTGGAGTGAGTGCTTCAAGAACCACCACACACAGACGTATGAAAGACATGGGTTTCTGCTGCCGCATTCCTTGTGTCAAGCCACTCTTGAACCACAGACAGCGTCAGAAGCGTCTTGCCTGGGCTAAAGAGAAACAGGACTGGACTGCTGGTGAGTGGTCCAAAGTCATGTTCTCTGATGAAAGTAAATTTTGCATTTCCTTTGGAAATCAAGGTCCCAGAGTCTGGAGGAAAAGAAGAGAGGCACTTCATCCACGTTGCTTGAAGTCCAGTGTAAAGTTTCCACAGTCAGTGATGGTTTGGGGTGCCATGTCATCTGCTGGTGTTGGTCCATTGTGTTTTCTGAGGTCCAGGGTCAACGCAGCCACATACCAGGAAGTTTTAGAGCACTTCATGCTTCCTGCAGCTGACCAACTTTTTGGAGATGCAGATTTCATTTTCCAACAGGACTTGGCACCTGCACACAGTGCCAAAGCTACCAGTACCTGGTTGAAGGACCATGGTATCCCTGTTCTTAATTGGCCAGCAAACTCTCCTGACCTTAACCCCATAGAAAATCTATGGGGTATTGTGAAGAAGAAGATGCAATACACCAGACCCAACAATTCAGAAGAGCTAAAAGCCACTATTAGAGCAACCTGGGCTATCATAACACCTGAGCAGTGCCACAGACTGATCGACTCCATGCCACGCCGCATTGCTGCAGTAATACAGGCCAAAGGAGGCCCAACTAAATACTGAGTGCTGTACATGCTCATACTTTTCATGTTCATACTTTTCAGTTGGCCAACATTTCTATAAATCCTTTGTTTTTATTGGTCTTCAGTAATATTCTAATTTTCTGATATGATGAATTTGAGATTTTCATTTGTTGTCATTTGTAATCATCAAAATTAAACAAAATAAACACCTGAAATATATGAGTTTGTATGTAATGTATGAATATAATATACACGTTTCACTTTTTAAATGGAATTACTGAAATCAATCTACTTTTTCATGATATTCTAATTTTATGACCAGCACCTGTAGACCTGTCTTGCCAGATGGATTTCATTTCTTTTCTTTTATTAACAGATTGCAGAGTGGCACTTAAATTTTTTCTATCTTTAAGCTTGATACAAATTTTGACACAGCTGCATTTTTATTTTCTTTATTTTTGAGCTTGCTGTTATTTGATGTAGATAGTTTGTATTTAGATACTACTTGTTACTTCAATAAAATTGGAACATTTTAAGATTGTTGCATATTTCATTAGTATTGTGTTGGGGCGATGGGGACAGGCGGGGCTTGAAAATTCCCCCTTGTCCAAAGTGGGGAATGACAGAAAAAGTTTGAGAACCACTTAGTTAAACTTTCCCCTGAACTAAAACTCTGTAACCTAGGAATTAATGATTACTTCAGAATGTGTATAAGGAAACTTTTTATTTTTTAAAGTTGTTGATGTCTTATTTTTTATAGCTACAATGTTGAAAATGTTCATGTCCGTTAAAACAAATATGCTCTTATACTCATTAATATCTCAACTGGTAATTTTGGTAGGAATTTATCAGGGTGGGGCAGTGTGCTTGTCTGTATTTGTGTATGGAAGGAGGGGCATATGCGGTAGGGGGCCAGTGCCCCAGTAAAGCTTTGTGCCTAGCAACGCCCCTGGCCTTTACTCTCCTCCAAGGTTGTCTGTTGCACAGAGGAAGCATTATTCTGCAAGACACAGCGCTCACAGGGATTCCCAGCAAACATCAGCTCAGAGGTGGCAAAAAGTAAAATTCTGGTAAGGTTATTAGTTTGAGTGACCTGATGTTCTCATTATCTTTGCCTTTCTTAGCTTTCCTTCACTGACGTGTCAACTCAGGAGTTGGCTAAGATCAACGTTATCCCAGTGCAAAAGAAATAGATGCAGGAGGAATGAGAAATGGACATGTGTTCTTAGTGTAGAGAAATATTAAATAAATTATTATAGTGATGTGGAGGCTTGTTTGTCAGATAAGAAGTTTTTTTTTTAAATAATATAGCAGGCATATTTTGTTTAAATTATTATTACTTTGATATAAGATTGTAATAATAGTTAATGTGTTTTTTATTAGTTTCAAGTGAAAAATCATAGTTTAAATGTGTTCCAATTACTGAGTTAAGCTTCTTAAATAAATAGTTTTTCTATATTATTGAATTCATAAAGAAGCCTAAAGATGAACACAAATATGAGTTTAAAGAGCTGAAATATTTAATATCATTCCCACGGTCGAACTCCAATAGGATGGCAAAGAAAATGTTGTTGGTTTAGGCTGCATTACTGTGCCCAAAACACATAAGGTTGTTTTCCATCTGCTTTCTCTTTGTCATTCAGTTTTGGCTTTTTGAAGCCACCTTCTGGAGAGAAGCCCCCTACAGCAGAGGTTCTCCCCCTGGGTCAAAGGGTTGCTGCTCTGTTGATCTAAGTTGCAGGAAGGAAGACTGTCACTGTTGTCTCTGATTAACAGCATGTCAGACTGAATGGCCTTCTAAATTGTTATAAGGAAATGGCATCTAGAGACAATAACCAGACTACTGCATGTCACAAGACGAAATTTTTTTTTGTTTTTGTTCATATTAGGTGCAAAATGTATAAAAAGCTGAAGTAACGGTGAAAATCGAAACAACTGAATAAAGCCAATTAAAGCAAAACATACCTTCACACGTTTTGCCATCTTCATTCAGCTTCTGTCCGGAGGGACATCTGCAATAAAAACTGCCGATGGTGTTACAGCAGAGAGCCTCACATCCACCATTTGTTTCCTCACATTCATTCACATCTGCAGGAAATAAAAACAGATATATGATCATATTTTACCCATCCATTGCATCTCTTATTTTGAGTTTATGGTTCCTCTGTTGTAAGGAAAATCTCTTAAGGCTGCTGCAGCCTATATTTTTTTATTGCCATGATATAGCACCATCCATCCTCCTTTCCCCGACCCTGCGGAAGAAAGATTAATCCCCACAGCAAGATGCTGCCACCACTGTGTTTCACCATGAGGGTACTGTTTTTAGGGAGATGTGAAAAGTTGGTTTTCCACCACACATATCATTCATTTAGTTAAAAACAGATGAAATTTCATTCTTAATTCCCACAAAATTTAAAGGGGAACCATTGACTTTTGTATTTTTAAAACAGCAAAATGTACAAGATAAAAGAAAAATCTACTTTTTACACCACTTTAAAAGAGTATAGATGAATATATGATAGTAATTATGTTTAAAAGCTACTAATCCTGTCAAAAGAAAAAAGGATGGCAAAAAAATAAAAATGTGTGTCTCTAATGTTTGTCTGTCCTCTGTAACCAACATCTTAACATTAAAATTAAGCCAGAAAGGTTCTTTAGTTTTACTCAATCCTACAGATATGCTTCCAAAAAAAGAATTAGCACTTTATTTAATTTCATGTACTGCTTCTAAAAATATCTTCCCATAAGCCAAATAAAATATTTCTGTCCAAATCCCAGTTTACACAAAAGGCACCAGGTTAAACACATGTACCAACAGGTCATAACTGGAACAGTGACAGTTTTCAAATTAAGGAAATATTAATATTGCACTTGAAAATTATAATCATCTCATCATTTTACAGATAGAGTCTTGCTCCAACATTGCAAAGCAGTAGGAATTCAGTTGGCACTAATCAGCTTATAACCATTCTTTGTGCTCATAAAGGACAATCTCAGCTCTGAGAGAGAAGTAAGAATGCAAAGAAAGTTTTCCCTCTGGAAATTTCCACACTTAACTAAATTTTACTGAACCACACAAAGTGTTTTATCAGCCAATCAATTTCCTCTTTTTAAGACATCTGTTAATATTTAACTGAAAACAACAGTTTCTATTACCCAAACCAACCAGATACAGGATCTCAGAAGAGGGCACAATTAAAGCTTGTTGTTTAATAAACCAAATAATAAACTTGATCTCCAAAGTGAGTTCTTAAAGAAATAGGATGAGAAGTGGTGACAAATCTTAGTAAAGTACTTTAATAAAGTAATCAAAGCTCAATTCAATGACTCCAAAGTTTTAAATGTAAATAAGCTACCTTTTTATTTAATCTACATAGTACAGCTGCTGTAACAATGTTTATTCTAACATGCATGCAGTGACTTTAGGTCTGAACATGAAGGTTAGACATTTTAATCAGGTAATGTCTATAAAGTTTTATGTTGATATGTTCATGTTTTGCTAAGAGTGTGCTGGGATGAAGAAATGTTTAGCAGCATTAATTCAAAAGCAAGTCAGAGTCCATTAGATGGGCTGGCAAGTAAGCATTAGTGAGCTGAATATTGACTGTCTATCTTTTATTGGGCTTTTGCTTTGATATTTCAGTAGCACATATGCAGTTAAAATAGTTTTAACATATGCGGCATGAAAGCCTGTCTTATCAAGTGATGCAAATGATAGTAAAATATATCGAACACTTTAAGAGAGAGTGATTTACCTGTAAATATGCAATCAAAACATAAGGCTAATGGGATACAGGGATTGTCTTTATAGAAGATTGTACCCTATAATATAACCAATCATAGGTATGAGATATTCTGACTATGGATACAAACTAATGTTCCTTCCATGAGAAAGTTTGAGTTGCTGGGTTAAAGATGTCTGCCCTTCTGTTCCATCCTAAGTCCCCCCAGGCCACACACCTGCCTGACAGCTGAAGCCCAGATCTCCCCAGGGTCATGGTTTCCAGTCTCTTTCTGCCCCATAAGCAAGTGGGAATGTTGGATTGTTGTGGGTCAGAAGGAAAAGACATAGGAGAAGCTATATATTAAGGATAAAAATTCTAACTTCATAACATATTATTTTTCATAAGGTATTATTAACTATTTAATATTGTATTATTTTTATTTCAATCAGATAATTTAGGAAAGATTCAATTTTCTAATTTTCTTCTTTCCTTCCTTATTTTCCCCTCAGGAGTAAACATGGAGAATAGTTCAAGTTTTCCATTTTATTCCACAGTGCACTCTAAGTCATCTACCGCTCATCTGGCTGAAGTGTCAGCAGCAGAACTTGACACAAAAGGTGTAAAAACACAACTTATAACAAGCTATAAGGAAGAGAAGATCGACTTCCTCTCGTGAGCATTAGTTTGTTCTCCTTGACCTGAGACCTTGGAGAGACATTTGGGTGCACATCTTGCAGAGAGGGGTCAAATGCCTGGAGTATCATGGTCTGCCTGCGGTCCAGATTTATGCTCTGAGTCAAACAGGCGAACACAAAAGGTTAAATCACAGACAGAGAAAAAAACGAAACAATTTTAGCTCCAAGGTTTAACGATCTCATAAAGGGTTTAAGTAAAATTTACATTTTTGCTTTATTCTATTTAATACTGACAGCTTTTATTTATTTATTTACATTTTAAAGTAAAATTGTTTCATATCCTTCTTTCAGTTCTGATAATTTTATAGATTTGATCAAAATAACCCTGATTCTCAGTCTCTCAGAACTTGTGTGGAGCTTAAATTTTGCTCAGTTTTATATTTTGTTTATTTAATTGTTTAAGACCAACAGTTTCACAGTTAGCGCAGTCTTATGTTAAACATCAGCAAATTATTAATTCCTAATTTACTGTTATTCTCTGCAGTTAGACATTAAAGTTAAATTAAACTATCCTGTAATTGAGCTTAACTTCGATCTCAGCCACGCTTAGACAAATGAAACTTTAAACAGATATGAACCATTAATCATTACCTGACTGAATATTATATGTGTTCAACTTCTGTTCATACAGTCAGTGGAAATCAGCAGGAGTTTGAAACCAATGTGCAGTGAATAAGGTTTTCTATCTTAGTAGAGAAGCCTAAACTGAACAGTCAGCTGACAGCGGGCAAGCTGCAGGAAGAGAGCAATATTTCTATAGACAAGCATATATTTGAGTTTAAGACGGCAATATTGCTGTCTACAAACATTATTAAAGTTTATTTTATGTCACGGGTACGACATGCAGCATAAGTTGGGAGTTGAACCCAGGATGGTTTCACCCATGACTTGGAACCCAAATATCGAGTATACCGCTGCATGAAGTGCCATTCCCTTAATGTATTATAGATTTGTGTTATTATAGATTATTTCCTCTTATTTTCCTCTATTTGGATTTAAATAATCTGCTTCGACCCCAACCCTCAGTAATGTGACAAGGCCTTGTGTTATGACCACAGCACGGTCACCTCTATGACTCAGTTGTTCCAGGTCTAAAGATATTATAAGTACCTTTTAAAGGCTTGAACTTATGTTGTAATTAAAAGAAATCTTAGAACAATTTGGCAGTTTCGATACTGTCAAATTAGCTAGTTTGCATAACTTTACTCAAAATTATGATAAATAAATTTAGGAAATGACACTCAGAAGCTCTAATAGGCAGTATTTTCCAAGTATTAATAAAAACAAATCATTTCTACTTTTTATTTGGTGCTTAATAATAATTTTCTAAATGTATCTTCAGTATATCATATATTCAAATATGATTGTCTTTTCAATTTTATAGGAGGCGTGGCTTAAACCATCACAACAACAAAAAATTCATTCCATTACATCAACAAAAAAGATTATTTGCATGAGAAGTGTTAGAATTTCATTGCTACCAACTAAAATGAAATATTTTTATCAAACAATGTCAGGATGCTATAACAAGTAAACTAACACCAGAATGATGTGTACATAGGAAGATGGTTTATTTTGCCGCAACTACAAAGTTACTGTAAAAGCCAAACTGCCATTATCCTCGGTCACCAGAGAAATCCAAAACATCTGTAAAATCAAGTGAAAACTTGCATATTTGGACGCTGTGTCACCAAGGGACCTCCTAAAGAATGAAAAATAAACAAAGCTAAAACAAAACTTATTTCTGTTTCTACAACTTTATCTGCTTGAGACCTCGAGGTTTACATTCCTCTGCTGTATTGTGTGATTCCTCTTCCTCTGATAGGGATGACCAGTATTTCTCCCAGGAGCTGCAGATCATGAGAGGTTTGTAAGGCCAAAGAAAACCACCATATGATATTATTCTACAGAAGTCATGAACAGATAAATGGCAAGACTATAGGATCAGGAGTATAGATGATGTTAACAGATTAAATGTATTCCCTTTAAGAGCCTGATTCAGAACCTTTTGGTGCGGTAATGTAGTAATGCGGTTTACAAAGCTACATTCCTGCTTATATTTCAGTCAAACAGCTGCTTTCATTTATCAGGTGCTATAAAGATGAGGACAGCACTTTGGTTCCAGCAGACGCATTTAAGTGAAGAGATTTTGTTCCTTGAAAGGCTGCGGGTGGATCTCCCTGACCTGAGCGTGTCCTTACTGGTGAAACAACATCTAAAACATGCTCTCAAACTGACAAGGTAACCATTTGGGAGCCAGAACTGACAATTTACTTCACACCCTATCACAAAAAAAAAAAAAAAAAAAGGTTTCCTTTAACGTCTGGAAAAAAACCTTTTTACCATCAACCAAACAGCAGGTAAACAGCTGAGCTGGTGAAATATGTCCACAAAGCCCATGTACAATGAAAAAGACATGACTGTAAGTTCCAGAGGTCTGTAAATTTCACAAGGAGAAAATTATTTAGATAAACCCCAATATACATGACCTTACACATTGTTGTTAATTCTCTCTACAAAAAGTTTCATATTAAACCATTTAGGTTTACTCAATGGTTGTTTATATTTTCCATCTCATGTAAGAGGAGAAAAACAAGAAATGTTCATTTCACTGCTAAGCTGCTGCTCATTTGCTGTCTGAAAAATGTACAAAACAAAATTTTGTTCT